GCCAGGCGCGCCATCTGGTTTTTGCCGTCGTGATTTGTGTTTTCTACATGTACTGGTGGTGGTTGCGCTTTTGTTTGCGGCACCGCGTGTTGCGCTCTGGCTGTGGGACTCTGTCTCCCATGGGGTGGGGTGGCCCAGGTAAGGGGGGTGGAAGGGGATATGTTGGATCGAACCTTTCTTATGTACATTGGGGGGGTTATGTCGCGTGGAAGGGGTGATGGAAATTGTATGCGCGTATGTGTTTTGGGTATGCTGTAAACGTTTCTCCGGTTATGCGTTCGTGAAAACATTGTTCTTTGGTTTTGATTGTTCTTGTTCTTGATTACGTGGACATTGTTCACGGCGTCCAGGTGAACTTCTCGCCAGTTCTTGTGCCCCAAGGCTCGCGTGTTCATTCCGAATACTGTTGATGATGTACACCTTTCTTTTTCTCCCGCAAGTGTGTTTTCACATCCCATGCAAAGGTGATTGATCCCAGGATCCGGCATTATGAAAGTGATGTGCGATTTCAGGTGGTGCTGTCCGACTTTAACCTGCGGTTGCTCACCTGATGGTGTCCGTGATCTCGTGGTGTTTGGAGATTCTATTTCCGACTGGGTCACTCGTGTATTTTTGATATGCGCCACGGATCCAATACACAAAGAGAGGAGCGGGAGACAGGCGTGTGTAATGAACGCGTGTGCGCACATAGACACTCATCATTGTGATGTGTTCGTGAACTAATGGGGGGTGGTGACAACCGTCCGTGCGGTTATTTGCAGTAAGGGGTGCCGATGTTGCGTGCGCCCATGTTGAAACTACAGGGAATTTGACGTGTGGATGTTGTGATGACTGATGGGTTGCGGTGTTACATTTAACGTTCATGTGGGAGTGCTCCTTGAGTACTGTCTCGTCAGATGGGGTCCTGTGTTTTCTGGTATCTCCTGAGTGGACTCATAACAGTTTTTTGGAGGATGCCACCCTTTTAGGCAATGACGTGGCGCTATCGGTGAAAGATAGTCAGAGGCACGTTGTGTATTATTGCCGAGTGGGATAACTGGGATCTACAGGTAAATTCCCATGGTGCTGTTTCTTTTTATTGTTTTTGTGGATTTTTTTTTTCGTAATTGGGGGTGTTGTTTTGACATCCGCGCGGAACCCGGGGTATATTTGTTTTTTTGTGAAGTGGTAAGATTGATTGCTGGCTTTGTGTGTTGTATTTGTTTTGTGTGAGTGGTTTGTCGATCCTTCAATGGATTGTGTACTCTCTTTATATTTCCCTCTGCGTTCCTGTTGTTTGTTTCTGATTATGTTAAATGTGCGTCTCTTTTCTCCTTTTCCTCTTCTTCCTTGTTACCACAGATCCAAGCAACTCACAGTGACAATCATGACAACGATGTTCATCCAACTGCGCCGCGTGGTGTGCCTATTGGTACTTCTGCAGTGCTGTGTGTGTGTGGCATATGCGGAAAGTGCAAGTGGAGCTGGGCGGGAAACCACAACCAGTGAGTTAACTCAAGTAGACGTGGATCAGTTAAGTAAAACGGTGGCCAAAGCATATGAGTACATTGCGCTTATATCTGCTTTTCTGTTTGTGTTAAAGGAGAATAAGGGATTGTGCGAGGAAAAAACCAGGCGTGCTGAAGCTGTTGCGGAGAATATCACGGCTATTGTTAAAGAGATCAATGAATCAAAAATAGGAAATTTGCAGTGGAAGCCAAAAGAAGAGTGGATAGAGGAAAAGAAGAAAAAAATGCAACAAAACATGGAAGTTATTAGCGAGGTGAAAGTGGCACTCGCAGAGTTGTCCCAATTGGAAAAATCTTATAAGAGTGAACTTGAAGGCGTGTATGTTGATAAGGAGGAACTTGCCAAGGCTGGAGACCGTTTATCGGAAGAACAGTCAAGCGAAAAGCCGGAAAGAATGGAACTCGCACAGAACATCAGTAAGATAATGGAAATGTTAACTGTCCTCGAAAAACGAATCAATGCCCCGGATGGTGATCTCCAACCATTTGCGACTGCCGCACTATCATTGAATAACGCGAGTGAAGCAGTTGAGGCCCTCAAGCGGTCTTTGGGGGAAGACGCGGAGCGCGTAATTGTTTCAAAAGGCATCGAGAATAAAGAATTAAAGAGAATCGCAGAGGAAAAAAGGGTCGTCGCCACTAAAAAACTGAAGGAAGCAAAAGCAAAAGAATTACAGCGGCTCAGTGAGGGAGGGACGGTTGAAGATCAAAGAGAGGGGAGTGGTGTAGAGCAACCGTCAGGGGAAACAGAAGAGAGACGGGTGGTTGGGGAGAATGTGCGGGAGACACAAGAAGAAAGGGATAGGAAAGACAGTAAAGAAGAGCAAGCGAATGGGATAAATCACACAAAGGAAGAAAGGGACGTGGATGGTGTGACGGAGAAGAATGAAAACGGAAAGGAAAAAGAGACCGAAGAAAGTCAGAAAGAGAAGGTCACGGAAAACACAAAAGAGGAAAAGGCAAAAAAGCCCCAAGTGGAAGTGGCGCAAAGAATAAAAGAACGACAGGAAGAAAAGGTCGAGGAGGAGTCAAAAAAACCCAGAGTAGATGTGGTGCGAGCTATAAAAGCAATACAAGGTGCTGACGGCAGCCTCAGTCCTGCATTGGTGCACGGTCCCTTATTGTTGATTCTTTTGTGTGTGTTGGGTTGCACACTCGTTTGCTGATCGGTGTACCCATGACACAGCTGCACAGTAAACCTTTGTTTGAGTGGATATGGATACATTGTAAGGGCACTGTTCTTTTTGGTTGGATGTCAGCCCTTCTTTTTTACAGTTCGATAAATCTCTTGTTTGCATTTTTTTGCTGAACAAATCTATTGGACTCCCTATGGCACTCATCACATGACAAACCATCATTTTGTGAGGGGAGTGACCTTCTTTCTTTGCTGGCATTATTATCTGGGCACTGTTTTGCCGCCATTTACTGTGTCCTCCTGGTGATGTGTGTGTGTGTTCCGTG